ACAGCTGGGAAAAGGACACTGACTGTGCTTTTGTGGAACACATAAAAGACAGTTGTTAGTATTCTTATATTTTGATTTGTCCTGAAGTTCTGGATTTTTTTCTCTGTTGCTGTGATTGATGATTTATTACTGTTATCTCTATTTGGGCATTTGAGAGCTTTTTCTTGTTTTTGTTTTTTTTTAAGCACACTTTTTATTTCCTTTATATATTTCTACCTCAACTTTGTCTTTCTACAGTTCTGTGTTTCTATGTTTCTTTTTATTTTGTTCTTGTTCTTTCTGTGTTGTTATTATACATATATATATATATACACACACATATAGATATTTTTAATATACTTTTATTTAACTTTGCTTTTCCACTTTTCTTGTTTTTCATTATGTTTGTTTGTTTGTTTTCTTTGCTTTGCTTTATTTCTTACCTGCCATTCTGCTTTGGTCTTTTTTCTGTTTTAGTTAGTTTTGTTTTTAATTGTTTGATATTTTTGGTTTCCTTTGCTCACTGGGTCACTCTCTTGTACTTTGTTTTCTTAGGTCTGTTTTGGCTTGGTGTGTGTGTGTGTGTGTGTGTGTTCCTTTGTTTTTGTTGTTATTTGTCTGAATTTGCTTTTACCATTTGTCTGGGGTTTGTTTTTTGTTTCTTGTTATTTTGTTTGCTTATTAGTTTTTTGTTTGTTTTAATACCCTTTATTGCCATAACAGATGGCTTGTTGCATCTTCATTCTCTGACCCGAGGTTGGGCTTGAGACTCTGGGATGGAAGCACTGAGTTCAGAGCACAAGACTTCAGAAGAAATACTGACCTCAAAGAATATTAATCAATGAGAACTCCCACAAAGACTTTCATCTGTATCCAAGACCTGGCACCACCCCAATTGCTGGCAGCACCCACCTCAAGATGCCTTACCCAAACAACAAGCAATACAAGAACACAAACTCAATCATCAACAAATATCTCAAAACACATCACCTCACACAACTCTGCCCATCAGAGGGGGATAAACTCACCTCCTTCCACCAGAACATGGACATAAGTGCCTCCCAACATGAAGCCTTCATAAGCCACTGGACCAACCTCACTCACTGAGAGCAGAGACCAAAAACAAAGGGAACTATGACCCTATAGCCTGGGGAAAGAGACTTCAAAGACAGTAAGTTAAGAAAATGGAAAGACAGAGAAGTATTGTGCAAATGAAGGAAAAAGGTAAAAATCCACAAGATCAACAAATGAAATAGGCAAACCACCTGAGAAAGAACACAAAGTAATAATAGTAAAGATCCAAAATCTTGAAAACAGAATGGAGAAAATGCAAGAATACTTAACACATTTAACAAGGACCAAGAAGAAATAAAGAAAAAACAAACAGTGAAAAACAACACAATGACTGAAATTAAAAATACTGTGGAAGGAGTCAAGAGCAGAATAACTGTGGCAGAGGAATGGATAAGTGAACTGGAAGATAGAATGATGAAAATAACTGCTGAAGAGCAGAATAAAGAAAAATGAATTAAAAATATTGAGGATAGTCTCACACACTTCTAGGATAACATGAAGTGCACCAACATTCAAATTATAGGGGGCTCAGAAGAAGAAGAGAAAAAGATAGGGTCTGAGAAAATTTTTGAAGAGATGAAAACTGTCCTAACTTGGGAAAGTAGTCAATCAAGTCCAAGAAGCTCAGAGAGTCCCATCAGAATAAAACCAAGGAGAAACAAACTAAGACACATATTAATCAAACTAACAAAAATTAAACATGAGGAAAAAATATTAAAAGCAGCAAGAGGAAAGCAGCAAGTAACATTCAAGGGAAACCCCATAAGCTTAACAGCTGATCTTTCATCAGAAACTCTACAAGCCAGAAAGGAGTGGCACGATGTGCTGCTGGGGGTGACAAAGAGTCAGACTTGACTTAGTGACAGAACAATAACAACAACAATGAAAGGGAAAAATCTACAAGATTGCTCTACTCAGCAAGGATCTCATTCAAAATTGATGGAAGAATCAAAAGCTTTACAGACAAGTAAAAGTTAACAGAATTCAGCACCATCAAATCAGCTTTAGAACAAATGCTAAAGGAATTTCTTTAAGTAGGAAACATAAGAGAAGGAAAAGACCAACAAAAACAAATCCAAAATAATTAAAATGCCAATAGGAATATATATATGAATAACTGTTTTAAATGTAAGTGGGTTAAACACTCTAACCAAAAGACAGAGACTGGTTGAATGGATACAGAGACTTACTTATATAAGTAAGACCTATGTTTATGCTGTCTATAAGACACCCACTTCATACCTAGAGGCACATACACACTGAAACTGAGAAGAAATTCCATGCAAATAGACATCAAAAGAAAGTTGGAGAAGCAATTCTCATATCAGACAAAATAGACCTTAAAAGTAGAGACTTACAAGAGATAAGGAAGGACACCACATAGTGATCAAGGGATCAAAACAAGAAGGCATGACAATTGTAAATATTTATGCACCCAACATAGGGGCACCTCAATAAATAAGGTGAACACTAGCAGAAATAAGAGGTAAAATTGAAAGAGGTGAGTAGAACCAATTTGTGTCATGTGCATGCTTACATGTGTCTGACTCTGTGATCCAATGGACTGTGGCCTGCCAGGCTCCTCTGTCCATGGGATTTTTCCAAGCAGGAATACTCAAATGGTTCGCTATTTCCTACTCCAGGGCATCTTCCTGACCCAGGGATTGAACCTGTGTCTCCTGTGTCCCCTGCATTGCAGGTGGATTCACTGAACCATCAGCTGAACCTCATCCAAGAGGAAGACATAACAACTGTAAATATTTATGTACATTGGGGCACCTCAATACATAAGGCAAACACTAACAGACATGGAAGGGGAAATTGACAGTAACACAATAATAGTAGGGGACTTTAACACTCCACTAACACCAATGGACAGAGCATCAAGACAGAAAATTAATAAGGAAACACAAGCCTTAAGTGACACATTGCCTTAGATGGACCAGTTGATATTGTCAGAATATTACATCCAAATGCAGAAGAATACACTTTTTTACTCACATGCACATGGAACATTCTCCATTATAGATCACATCTTGGGTCAGAAACCAAGCCTCAGTAAATTTAAGAAAACTGAAATCATATCAAGCATATTTTCTAACCATAATGCTATGAGACTAGATATCAATTATAGGAAAAAAAACCTGTAANAAAATATAAGAACAGAAAATATAAAAATCTTAGAGGAAAATATAGGCAGAACACTCTTTGACATAAATCACAGCAAGATCCTCTATGACTTGCCCCCTACAGTAATGGAAATAAAAATGAAAATAAATCTTGGGACCTAATTAAATTTAAAAGCTTTGGCATAGGAAAAGAAACCATAATCAAGATGAAAAGACAACTCTCAGAATGGGAGAAATTAATTGCAAATAAAGCCACTGACAAAGTATTAATCTCCAAAATATACAAACAGCTCATGCAGTTCAATATAAAAAAAATAAACAACTCAATCAAAAAATGGACAGAAGACCTAAACAGATATCCAAAGAAGGCATACAGATGGCCAATAAACACATGACAAAATGCTCAGCATAGCTTATTATTAGAGAAATGCAATGAGATATCATTTCACACTGGTGAGGATGGCCATCCTCAAAAAAATCCACAAACAATAAATTCTGGAGAGGGTGTGGATAAAAGAAGACCCTCTTGAACTGTTGGTGGGAATGTAAAATGATACAGCCACTGTGGAGGACAGTGCAGAGATTTCTTTAAAAACTAGGAATTAAATTACCACAGGACCCAGCATCCCACTACTGGGCATATACCTTAAGAAAACCACAATACTAAAAGACACATGTACTGCAGTGTTCACTGCAGCACTATTTACAGTAGCCAGGACGTGGAAACAGCCTAGATGTCCCTTGAGAGACAAATGGATAAAGAGGTTGTGGTAAATATATACAATGGAATATTACTTAGCCATAAAAAAGGATGAATTTGAGTCAGTTCTAGTGAGGTGGGTGAATCTAGAGCCTGTTATACATTACAGAGTGAAGTAAGTCAAAAAGAGAAAGACAAACATCTTATATTAATGCATATATATGGAATCTAGGAAAATGGTACTGACCAACCTATTTGCAGAGTAGCAATAGAGAGACGCACATAGAGAACAGACTTTGGACAAAGCGGGGGAAGGAGAGGGTGGACAAATTGAGAGAGTAGCATGGAAACATATTCATTACCATATGGAAAATAGATAGTGGGAATTTGCTATATAACACAGGGAGCTCAATTTGGTGCTGTGTGACAACCTAGAGGGGTGGGAGGGAGGTTTAAGAGGGAAGGGACGTACGTACATCAATGGCTGACTCATGTTGATGTATGGCAGAAGTGAGCACAACATTGTGTTGATTATCCTCCAATTAAGCAGTAAATGAAGCAGTGAAAAAATGTGCTTTTGAAATTATTTGTATTGTGATCCCTCAACAATCATGTTCATTCTTGAGAATTTCTGTTAAGTGAGGAAAACTAACTTAAATTTATTTACAAAAGTGTGAGAAGTTTATTAATAAAAAGAACAAAAATTAGTGAAGACATGAGAATTGACATTTAATCAAATTTAATTATTAGTTATAAATTAGGGTTTTAATAATTAAATTAACATTTAATTATTGACATTTAATTAAAATTTACCAATATTGAGTTTGCATTTTTCCCTTGTACTTTAGCCTTTCTTTCTTCTTTTTCTTCTCCTTCTCCTCCTCCTTTTCCTTCTTCTCCTCTTTCTGTTTAAGGATTGTCAGACCTCTTCAAAAACTCTCAGATCTTAAGTACCATGCTATCTAATGAATAAAAGTGTACAATCAGCTCTGTTAATTAGCTTATTATGTTGGTTGACTTATCTTACACAATTCATTAGGCTTGGTATTAAATTTGGCCGTATGAAATTCCTGGGTTTTGGGTTTTGTTTTGTTTTTGGCAAAATATGACTTAATAGAGACAATTTCACATGATTTAGCTTAATGGTTTTTGGTTACAAATACATTTTTCCCTCTGGAGGTGTAGAGTTAAATCACAAAGCTAAGACTTAAAAAGCAGAGATCTGTGCTTGTGGTAGGTGTTCGGCAAATTATTTGCAGAATGAATGCGTGCGCATATTCACGAATGACTGAACAAGACACAGGAATGTAAACAAGAGCATAATTGCGTGGTACAGACCCGTGGTAATGGAACTGGCAGAACGTATTCATCATATGAAGAACTGTGACAATTACTTTAAAGTCTTTTTAACCAACACTCTCTTTTTAATTCAATTTTGTTTTGCTAGCCAGAGATTGGCATTAGCTGTGTGAGAAAGAAGTCCTGGCATACCTCACTGCTGACTCTCCTCATTAGGGAATAACAAATGGAAACATCATGGGAAGTGAAGGAGAAAAAGAAGCATTGTGGATTTAAGAGAGAGACTTCAGAGGTTGGTAGGCTTTTCATGAAGCATGTTGCTTTTCATTTGGCAGCAAGAACTATCTCTGGAAGGTGCTGGTGTTTTTCTTTCCATATGATCCCAGGGAAACCAACAACTCTATTTTCTTTTTTTGACTCCAATGCTAGAGAAAAACAAAAGATTATCAAATCTTAATGATTAATAGAGCTTCAATGTTGGGTCAGTCCACCCATCCATTTACTCACCCTTTTATCCTGTTGAACCATGATACACCAGATACTGTCCAGGTGCTGGGAAGACAGTGAGGTTTAAGATATAAGATGCATTTCCAAACTAGAGGGGATGTTCATCTGGTGTTGGGAGAGTAAGTGTGATTAGTGCTAAAAGAGCAGGGGGGGACGTGGTCAGCACGTAGTTAGACAATGGATGCCTGGAGATGCTGGAGGAGATTTCATCAGAGGTGTTAATTGACCTGGGTCCAGAATAGAGGTTTGTAGCCTTGGCTAAATAGATTAGAATAACCAGAGGATTTAAAAGAAGAGAGAAAGAAAGAGAGAAAAAGAAAAGAAAAGGTAGAGAGGGAGAGAAAGAAAAAAAAAAAGAACCAAGGCAACTCAGGATCCACCACACAGGTTCCAGTTTAATTGATTTGGGGGTGGATATCTGTTTTGTTATATTTCTATTTTGCCCTTAAAAAAAGCTAATAGGTTAATATCAGGTTAATATTGATACAGTTAGCAACTAGATTGAGAACCATTGGTATGGGAGAAGTAGAAACACATAAGGAGAGGGAGGTTGGATTGGTTGAAGGAGGAGAAAGTTGCAGTCTTCCATCCTAAGTAAATAGTATGCAAAAAGAAAGATGACGTCCTAAGGTTTTCAGCCTCATGATGGGGGTCAGTCCAGTGTATGTGGAAATGTGGAATGGAACTTTCTGTAGAAAACTGGATGCCTGGAAGTGCTTCTATGAGGGAAAGAGTCAGCAAGAAAGGTTTCACTGTGGTCTAGTGTCTCAGCGAGGAACTCATGGTCAGGTGTGAAAAGTCAGCCAGAAGACACCAGTGTTTTCAAGCATGTGATGTATATAGGAGGAGGGACCTTGATTACCATTATCCATGAATACAAAATGTAGAATCCAAATAAAGAAATTTACATGAAAAACTGGTGCAAAGTGATAAAAACAACAGGATATCCCTAGAGACAAACAACCCTAGAATTACCATCTCTACCCAGAATATACAAGGTTCCCACAGGAAACAAATTTCACTGAAGACTAGATCTGAGATTAACAAAACTATTAATACTCAAGGGAGAAAAAAATGCCATGAGAATGAGTATGTGTAGAAACCATATATTCTAGGCCAATCTGAGAGAGACTTTTATATGAACATGTTCAGCATGTTCAAAGGGCTTCCCTGGTAGCCAGTAGGTAAAGATTCTACTTGCAATGCAGGAGATCCGGGTTTGATCCCTGTGTCGGGAAGATCCTCTGGAGAAGGAAATGATAACCACTTCAGTATTCTTGCCTGGAAAATCCCATGGACAGAGGAACCTGGCAGGCTATAGTCCACGGGGCCGCAAGAGTCGGACACGACTTAGTGACTAAACCACCACCAGCATGTTTAAAGACATAGAAATAGGAAACATCCAGTAGGCCAGGAAAGAAAAAAACAGACTTAAAAAAAAAAAAACCACTCAAATAGAAATTAAATTTATTTATAATTAATTATAATTAGTTTATGATTAAAATAAATTTGAGAAAATTCTCATTGGTTATAGGGTATAGTCTATATGTAGCTGAAAAATTAGAAGACAGAACTGAAGAAACTACAGAAAGCTGAAGGATATTCCACAAATAGAGAAATAGGTAGAAAACAGAGGTCCTGAGTATGAATTTTTTGCTACTAATGCTGCTTGGAATACAGAACATAGGATTGATATTTTAGATAGGTGAAAGACAGAGTTAGTATATAGGATAAATCAGTTATCCTAAAATTTCTGAGAAATATTAACATGTATATTGTCAGCATATTCTTGAGTTTCTGTGTTTGCTAAGGTGGGTTCTCCTTGCAGTCCAAGGGATTCTCAAGAGTCTTCTCCAATATCACACTTCAAAAGCATCAATTCTTTGGTGCTCAGTTTTCTTTATAGTCCAACTCTCATATCCATACATGACTACTGAAACAACCATAGCTTTGACTAGACAGACCTTTGTTGAAAGGGTGATTGAATGATGAACTTAAGGCTGTGAAATCTTTGAGGAAACTGCATAATTTTTTCAGACATTTTGTTGTAGGAAACTGCTTATTCAATAAAAAAAGTAAATTATGATTTTCAAAAGAAATTAATCCAGCTAATCTTGTGATAATTAACCATTGAACTAAAACTTACTTTTTTTCTATTAGGATTCTAATTAAAATCCTCAGTTTTTAGAAAGATGGCTAAAGTCGCTCCTCCTTGAAAAAAGCAAAATATTGAAATACAATTTCAGATGATTAGCTGTAAAAAGTGAAGAATTTCAGTTTTTCTTGGTCTGGAGCCTGCCAGACTCCTCTGTCCATGGGATTCTCCAGGCAAGAATACTGGAGCGGTTGACATTTCCTTCTCCAGGGTATCTTCCCAACCCAGGGATCGAACCTGGGTCTCCTGCATTGCAGGCCAACTCTACCATCTGAGTGACCAGGGAGGATAGTAAAGTTAAAATTAAAAAATTAAAATTCAGTAAATACTATTTATGTAGATTAAAAAACCATCCAAAACAACATTGGATATTTTCCCATTGGCACAGATGTATTTGGAAAAAGTGAAAAATATGGACCAGAAGGAAACACTCCTAACTTAATGAAAGTGACTGTAAGGGGAGGAGGGTAAAAGAAGGCGAGGAATAGGTGAGGGAGATTAAGAAGTACAAAGTATGAGTCAGGGGTACGGAATGTAGTCAATAACTGTTTAATCTTTGTAGGGTGACTGATGATAACTAGATGTAACATGGTGATCCTTTTGAAACATATAGACATATCAAATAACTATGTTTTGTAACAAGAACTAACATAGTGTTACAGGTTGATTACACTTCAAAATCAACTAAACAAACAAACAAACTCATAGGGAAAGAAATCACATTTGTGGTGACCAGAGGATGGGGGTTGGAATAGGGGAAATTGAATGAAGATGGTCAAAAAGGTAAAATTTCCAATTATAAGATAAATAACTGCTTTGTGTTTCCATTTCCTTCTCCAGGGGATCTTCCTGACCCATGGATCGAACCCAGGTCTCCTGCATTGCAGGCAGTTTCTCTACCATGTGAGCTACAGGGAGGACCTCAGGGTATAAGGTACAACACGGTAAATATAATTAATACTGCTGCACATTATATGCAAGTTGTTAATGGAGTAAATCCTGAGTTCTCATCACAAGGAAAACATATTTTTTTCCAATTCTTTAATCTTCTATTAATAGATGAGATGATGGGTGTTCACCTAACTTACTGTGATAATCAGGTAAGTGAAATATCAGTCAAATAATTATGCTATACTCAAATTCATATAGTCCTGTACATCAATTATATATCAATTAAACAGGAATAAAAAGACAGTAACTGTATCTGAGTTGTGTGGGAGGCAAGAATCAACCTGGGCTTTTTGCAGGGAGATGATGTGATACAAAGTAATCTATTGTATCTGTGATTGTTTTTTTTATAAAGGGGTTCTGAAATATTTATTGTATATATATATTTACACACACACACACACACACACACACACACACACATATATCCACATGGTGAGTTCCTGGATGTTTGTTATAACTAACTTACTGTGATAATCAGGTAAGTGAAATATCAGTCAAATAATTATGCTATACTCAAATTCATACAGTCCTGTATATCAATTATATATCAATAAAACAGGAATAAAAAGACAGTAACTGTATCTGAGTTGTGTGGGAGGCAAGAATCAACGTGGGCTTTTTGCAGGGAGATGATGTGATACAAAGTAATCTATTGTATCTGTGATTATTTTTGTTATAAAGGGGTTCTGAAATATTTATTGTATATATATATATTTACACACACACACACACACACACACACATATATCCACATGGTGAGTTCCTGGATGTTTGTTATACTTCTGTAAACTTATCCCTTTATGTAAAATTTTTATAACTAAAAAAGTAACACAATCATTACAATTTATTGTCTATAGCTCTACTTAGAGGAAGAGGTAGAGGTTAACTATGTGCTAAATGACACATAAAGGCTGATTTGTCCATTTCCATTATTCATTTTTTATCCTCTGTTTATATGGCTAATCTAGAAGCTTAGTGCAAATTAGTTGAAGAACTAGCTTTCAAATTAAATAACTCCCAAATGCATATTTTTTTCCTTAATGATGTTAAAGAGGTTGTTCTCACCTTTAGAAATTTTCTATTTTTTTATTTCACAGGCCACTCCCTTGAACTCTTTTGGGCAGGAACACACGCATTCTCCGTCCAGCAGAACCACAGTCCCTGCATTTTGGCACGGTTGGCATTTCCTTAAACTGAATTCATTGACGTAGTCTTCAATGGCTCTTTCCAAATTTTGTTTCTTGAGGTGTGCGTCTTTCATTTTCACTGGAATCAGCTCATATATCGGAGTCAGCTGCAAGAGAGAAAAACATTTAATTTTAGGTCTTTTCCTTCTGACTAATATTTTAGTTTATGTAATATTTTTGACTAAATTATTTATTCTTTGATTCATTAATTCAACAAAGGCTTATTGAATGATTATTATTGTCAGTATAATGTTAGCTTTTAAGACCTGGTGGCTCAGATGGTAAAGAGCCTGCCTGCAATGTGGGAAACCTGGGTTCAATCCCTGGGTTGGATAGATCCCCTGGAGAAGTAAATGGCAACCCACTCCAGTAATTTTGCCTGGAAAATCTCATGGATGGAGGAGCATGACAGGGGGTTGTGAAGAGTCGGACACAACTGAGTGAATGACAACAACAACATAATGTTAGCTTTTAAGCCTATACTAGTGATCAAAAGTAGCCATGATCTCTGTAATCATGGAGATCCCATTATAGAGATAAAGTGTGTTAGGCACTCAGTCATGTTCGACTCTCTATGACCCCATGGACTGTAGCCTGCCAGGCTCCTCTGTCCATGGGATATTCCAGGCAAGAATACTGGAGTGGGTTGCCATTTTCTTCTCTGGGTTGGGGGTGGGGAGTCTTCCCGATCCATGGATCAAACCTGGGTCACCTGTATTGCAAGTGGATTCTTTACCGTCTGAGCCACCAGGGAAGCCCATTACCGAGGAAAGGAGACTGATACTGCAAGATAATTTACTGACATATTTATTGTGAATCCTTTTTGCTGCCTTTTTTCTGTCTCCCCCTTCTGGAAGGTAGACAAGGGCTTGCAATCTCTTGTCTAAAAGGAGATTTACGTGTGATGCCAAGTCCAGAATGTCCCTAAAAACAAATTTTTTATTACCTTTGAGGGAGAGCTTTCCTCCAGTCCAGGAAGAGGATAGACTTAGCATATACTTCAAGTAGCAGGAACCATAAGTAGATCTCTAACAGCTGTTTTGGCAAGTAGCAGAATCTTTGAAGGGCCCCTAGGGAAGGTGGCTATCAGGGACCAGGCTACAGATTTGTCAATGTCTCCAAAGCACAATCTTGGCATGAAAAGTTTGAAACAATTTGATGTCAAGTAAACTTGTAAACTTGAACCATGAGGTCATCAGGGTGACCACAATGGACTAAATACCTTCATATATCATATCCTTAATTTCCCAAAGAGAAACATCTGGACAAGCAAGAACCACCCTGAACCCATCCAACAAATGAATGATGGATGGATTTTCCAGCAGTATGGAAGGGTGGAAATGTCAAATTTAATTATACCCAAATAAATGAAGCAAAGTGATTTATTTTGTACCCTTAAATTCCTGGAGTAAGATACATAGTTGCCACAATTGAATCAGGGAAGTTTGGAAAAGTTTTCCTGAGAAAATGAGTATGAAGTTGAGATTTGAGGGTATAAAGACAAAAAGACTACTCTAGTAATATAGTGAAGAATTTAAAAAATTCTTACAGTAGAGTTATGTTACATATATAACACATATAGAATATATAGAGTTATGTTTTATAAATCTATATAAACCATATATGGGCTTCCCAGGTGGCACTAGTGGTAAAGAACCAACCTGCCAATGTAGAAGACATCAGAGACTTGGGTTCAATCCCTGGATTGGGAAGATTCCCTGGAGGAGGGCATGGCAACCCAGTCCAGGAAGCTTGCCTGGAGAATCCCATGGACTGAGGAGCCTGGCAGGCTATAGTCCATAGGGTTGCAAATGAGACCCTTTGGCAGCATAGTACTTTGAAATGAGATAGCAAAATTTAGAAGAAATTAGAATCTGAAGACTCAAGAAAGATGAGATTAAAAAATATACCACAAATTCCTGCAGAAGAGTAATGATAGATTAAATAATGTTAACCAATCCTTTTTCTGAGGACAATGAGAAAAGCTGAACAAGTAAATAAAAGCGAAATTTAAAAATCCCCTAGAAGACCCTGGAGAACTAACAAGATAACAAAAAAAAATGGCTAGGCTAAGACCAGGGAGGTGGTGGAAATTCATTGAGGTGAGATCAATACTTTTGGGTCAACAGTCCCCTTGACACATTTCCTAAATCAGAAAGAGGAGCTAAGAAGTAGGGCAGCATGTTACTGGGCTGGGAAAAAGATTGGAATTCAGAAACAACAAAGGTAAACAAGTTGTGTTTTTGGTTGAGACTCAAGGACCAGAGCCCTAGAAGTAAGAGGGAATTGGAACTGAGGAAGCCCTGGCAAAGACTGCAGCCAGTTTAAACATAATCCTGAGTCAGTACCCCAGAAGCTTTTTAAATATAAATATGTAGTTTCTTTGGAAAAAAATAAAATCACCTCAAGCCTTAAGCTACTCTGATAGAATCCCTAGCAATGTGGGAGATATGAGTTGGATATCTGGTCAGGGAATTAAGATTCCACATGCCATGGGGCAACTAAGCTTGTGTGCCTCAGCTACAGAGAAGCCCGCATGCCACAATGAATGTTCCTGCATGCTGCAATTGAGACTTGACACAGCCCAAAAGAAGAAAATAAATTATATAAAAAAATAAAATAAAAAAACTAGAAAAGGGACTTCCCTGGTGGTCTGTGCTTCTAATGCAGGAGATGCAGGTTTGATCCCTGGTTGGGGAACAAAGATCCCCACAAGCCACATGGCACAGCCAATAAAAACAAAAAAGAATGCCACTCAAGGGTGAAAGTCCTCCAGTGAAAGAAGACATCTGTAATACTGTTATATGAGAATACGCTCATATCCTAAATACATCAAGAACTTCTACAAAGTTCCCACAACTATCCCCCAGCAGAGTCTTTTATGAATTAGCATGTAGGATTCAGATTCCAACTCTGACATACTTAATTGGAAGAAAGAAACCTCTTACCAGTGTTGCCACATTAGCACAAACATCATAAGTATGTGGTGGAGTTATTTTGATTTTCAAGAAAAGAAATCCTTCTTGTTTTGACCCTTCAAAGGAAAGTCAAGGCCAGATAACTGAAGATACAGGACTAGAGGGTCACAGAGAAAATACAGTTTGGATGAAATTCATAAACAGTGTTTAAAGAGATAAAAAGAAATGACGTGCAATGGCAAATAGTTTCAGAGGAGCCCCTGGAGTCAAGAATCCCAAAAGAAGACAAAGAACAATGAAAACGCACTTCTTGAAGTTTGCTTTAAGAGCCGCATTTTTTTCCCCTGGTTGAACTTTGGCCTTCTGTTAAGTAAGAAAACAGTTTTCATTGTTCTCCCATACTAACTAACTGTTCTCTTTCTACCATTTTCAGTAGAGGTTTCTTTCTCCCAAGTAAAGATGTCAAAGTTAAAATCTGAATCCTATGTGCTAATTCATAAAAATTATGAATTTTCAGTAGATGTAATCTATCATGTGACATGCTAAAATACAATGAATTTACAATACAGTTTAATATTAACTACACTTAAGTCTCTTAATGTCAACTTAATGAAACTATATGAACCAAATGTAGTTTGTTGAAAAAGTGTTTTATTTTAAACTGCTGTACAAGAGAGTTAGAGATGATTTTTACTATCTCACTGTAACTGTAATGACTGTAGTGTAGAACACTGGTACCACACCTCTTTAAAATTCTTCTGATATTTTTTAACATCTGGTGCATCGTTCTAAGAATTGCATGATAAACAAAAATGGTAGATCAATTAACTCATTCTTACTTAAAGTTGCTCCCGAAAGAGCTTAATAAAACTTGACATGTGGGTGGACAAGAACTGCTGAGGGAAATGAGGGAAAGGAGAATTGAGACTGCATGGCAAAGGCGAAATGAAGGCAAAAGCAACAAAAATGCACAAAAGTCATGCAGGAGGACCCATCAGTGCACAAAGTGAGTAAAAAATTTGGTTATATTTCTAGTGAGTTGAATAAGACAACTGAATTTTAATAATTACATGCATGTAAGAAAAGCTCACCTTGATTCCCAAGAGAAACAAAATGATCCTTGAAACTGAGAATGAAGAGTAATATCTCCCATGAGTTCTCATAAAGGGGACATTGTATTATGTAACATCCTTTCAGTAAATAAAGCAAGCATAAATTCACTTTTATAATGCAAAAATAAAACTCTGCAGGAAGTCAATATGCTATATGCCACCTATACCGATCCATCTCTACTGCTACTGCTCTAGAGAAAATCATAAACTTTGTATCTTTCAGGCAATCCTTACTAAATGTAATTTTGCTCAGCTGACATTTTAATAACTAGTTTGTGGCAGTAAGCTAAAGAAACCACAGTTCAGGTATTCTATTGAGACAAAATGTAGAGCCATTTGTGTTAATATTCAGACAAGTGGGAAATGGAAATAGTATATTTTCATGAAAGCTGAAGACTAGACAAAACTAGTAATGGAAGGGTGACCTAGCTTATCTCCTCTGCAGAGAAAGGCTGAAGGACAATTCTTGGGCTGGGCTGGGCCAAGACATTCCTCAAGAAGTGATCTGGGGTCTGCTGAAACACACACAAACAAAAGGGTAATCAAAGCCACTGCATTTTACTTAATATAGCATGGTCATAGTTACTTTGGTGTGGAAAATAAATGTAAATAAAACTAAGTGCTTTGCTTAGAAAATCTCAGTAATATATTTAAGCAGCTTTTAATTTAGACTGATGTAACTTCCTCATGTTTCCTCCAAGAGAAACTCTTTGCAACATAAATACCTAGGTAATTGATGTAAACTGTTACAGAGAATTAAATATAAACCAATTTAATATGGGTAGGGAAGGGATGTTCCCATTTTTTGCATAACTGAATAGACAGGCCAATTACTTTATTATGGTCATCCCAATATTTGGACATGTCATCATACACAGACAATGGAATGCTTCAATTACCAAAGAATAAATCCATGACTATAGATTGTTCAGTTATCTCATGGAAATGCCAATTAACCAAAGGACTTTACATTTATAAGAGCGAAATAACTTGGAATCTATTTCAAGATTAAATTAAGCGTTATCTCAAGTCTCTTGAGAGATTTAAAAGCCATACAGAGTCAATAAAGTTCATGTTATTTTACTATTTTCTGAATTTATTCTATAGTAAGATGAATTTAAGAAGTGTTTCATGGTGGACTCACTATGGTTGACTTTTTCTCAGGTAGAGCATTAATATGAAAAATCCAAGCTCCCAATTCTTGAAGAAAGAAACATACAGATATTTTAGATAAAATGCCTACATGAAAGAGGAAGTCAGTCATATCTGACTCTTTGCGACCACATGGACTATATAGTCCGTGGAATACTCCAGGCCAGAATACTGGAGTGGGTAGCTTTTCCCTTCTCCAGGGGATCTTCCCAACCCAGGGATCGAATCCAGGTCTCCCACATTGCAGGTGGATTCTTTACCAACTGAGCTATCGGGAAGATGAAATACCTACTAGTCTAGAAATATGGGAGTCAACAGTTGTCCTTAAAAATAGGATAAACTGTATTTTGCATCCAGCCAGTAGTACTGAGCCAACAGAGCTATGAAGGTCTTTGAATAGTTCTAGTAAATTCAGTAGTAAGTCTTCAGCAGATACTTTATTGACTTGAGATTTAAAAAATCAGCAGCTCTAGGACATTCTGGAGTGTAATGCCAAGTAGGCCTTAGGAAGCATTGCTATGAACAAAGCTATTGGAGGTGATGGAATTCCAGCTGAACTATTTAAAATCCCAAAGATGATGATGTTAAAGTGCTGCACTCAACATGCCAGCAAAATTGGAAAACTCAGCAGTGGCTACAGGACTAGAAAAGGTCAGTTTTCATTCCAAACCCAAAGAAGGGTAGTGCAAAAAAATGCTCAAACTATTGTGCAATTGCTGTCATCTCACATGCTAGCAAGGCTATGCTCAAAATCCTTCAAGCCAGGCTTCAGCAGTACATGAAGTGAGAACTTCCAGATGTACAAGCTGGGTTTCAAAGAGGCAGAGGAACCAGTGATCAAATTGCTGACACTTGTTGGATCATGTAGAAAGCAAGGGAGTTCTAGAAGAACATCTCCTTCTGCTTCTTTGACTATGTAAAGCCTTTGTGTGGATCACAACAAACTGGAAAATTCTTAAAGAATGGGGAGTACCAGACCACCTTACCTGACTTCTGAGAAACCTGTATGCCTGTCGAGAAGCAACAGTTAGAACTGGACATGGAACAATGGACTGGTTCAATATTGTAAAGGAGTATGACAAGACTGTATCGTGTCACCCTGCTTATTTAACTTATATGCAGAGTACATCTTGCAAAACAGCAGACTGGATGACTCACAAGCTGGAATCAAGACTGCCAGAGGGAACATCAGCAATCTCAGATATACAGATGATACCACTCTAATGGCAGAATGTGAAGAGGAATTAAAAGAGTCTCTTGATGAGGGTGAATAAGGAGAGCAAAAAAGCTGGCTTGAAACTCAATATGAAAAAAACTAAGGTTATTGCATCTGGTCCCATCACTTAATGGCAAGTAGAAGGGGAAAAAGTGGAAGCAGTGACAGATTTTCTTTTCTCAGGCTCTAAAATCACTGCAGATGGTGACTGCAGCCATGAAATTAAAAGACACTTGCTCCTTGGAAGGAAAGCTATGACAAACCTAGACAGCATATGAAAAAGCAGAGACATCACTTTACTGACAAACGTCCATAGAGTCAAAGCTATGGTTTTCCCAGTAGTCATGTATGGATGTGAGAGTTGGGCCATAAAGAAGACTGAGTGTCGAAAAATTGATGCTTTCAAACTGTGGTGCTAGAGAAGACTCTTGAAAGTCCCTTGGAGAGCAAGGAAATCAAACCAGTCAATCCTGAAGGAAATCAATCCTGACTATCCACTGAAAGGACTGATGTTGTAACTCCAATACTTTGGCCATCTAATGTGATCAGCCAACTCATTGGGAAAGAACCTGATGCTGGAAAAGATTGAATGCAGAAGGAGAAGCAGGTGGTAGAAGGTGAGATGGCTGAACAGCATCACTGACTCAACAGACATGAAACTGAGCAAATTCCAGGAGATAATGGAAGATAGGGGAGCCTGGCATGCTGCAGTCCATGGGGTTGCAAAGAGTTGGACATGACTTAGTGACTGAACAACAACAGCAATAGAATATGATAAAGTATTATTAAGACCTCCTCAGAGAACAATCTCGGATCCATACAAGAACAGTTGAACTTTCTTTGTAGAGATGAGAAGACAAGTCACTTCAGGTGTCCATCTGAATGTAAGGGCTTCACAGGTAGTGCAGTGGGAAAGACTTCGTCTGCCAATTCAGGAGACACAAGCGATAGGTTTGATCCCTGGGTTGGGAAGATCCCCTGGAGGAGGAAATGGCAACCTGTTGCAGTATTCTTGCCTGGAGAATCCCATGGACAGTGGAGTCTGGTGGACTACAGTCCATAGGGTCATAGAGTCAGACATGACTGAGCACGAATGAATGCATGAACTGAATGTAAACTTCTACATAAATAAATTCTTTTCTTGTTTGTTTTGGCCAGTCAGCTTGTGGGATCTTAGTTCCCACACCAGAGATCAGACGTAAGCCCTTGTCAGTGAAAGTACAGAGTTCTAACCTACTAGACGACCAGGGACTTCTCAACCAATTATTTTCCTATTTAAGATTTTCTGACAGATTTATTTCACTGAGTTCAAGATAATGAATATAAATATTATTTAAATATGACAAAATAAAAGTAGCCTCTTCTGATTTTAATTTTGATTAACTTGTTTCTTCTCTTTATCCTAGCTTTTGAACAAAAATTTGAAGTCTTTCATGGACGTGTTTGCACATTTACAACTGGCTGGATTTTCAGATTTCCATCACAGTTTTGCAGTTTCTGAGTTTCTCAATCACGTAAATGAGGTAGCTTTGGTGGTTTCACTCCCTCTTTAAAGACAGTAATGAAGATTGAAGAAACCCAATTCTCCAATAACTAATCCTATCAAACATGTCAACAACTTTATAGCTCATTAATAAAATGGAAGTATGGGTCAATCAAAGATAAATTTGACCTGAGGGAAGAAAATTGTGAAACTGACAGGGAAAAAGAGCTCAGACAGTAAAGAATCCACCTGCAAAGCAGGAGACCTGGGTTCAATTCCTGGGTTGGGAAGATTCCCTGGAGAACGGAATGGCTACCCACTCAAGTATTCTTACCTGGAGAAGTCCATGGACAGAGGAGACTGGTGAGCTACAGTCCATGGGGTTGCAAAGAGTCAGGACTGAGCAACTAAAACTTTTCCTTTTCACTTTTATAGAAGAAAGTAGGAAAAATACTTTCTAACAATATCAGGAACAAAATAAGCAGTAAAAGAAAACAGATACCTTTTTAGTAGTTAGTTTGGGGAGAGAATGATGAGGCTAAATAATTTTGGCAGTTATATTTTTATATTAATAGTTATAATGTCATTTTTTTTCCTTAGGAATAAGCACCAGACTGTAAAGTCACAAAAGGTTTATAAACTGAAGACTATTATTATCAAGAAACAGAAAGGAATGGATTTCCTAACCATGAGAATTTCTCATCCTTGGTCTTACTTTCTGAGAACTTATAAACTTTTCTTTCACAAAGGCCCCTGATAAATACGATTCTCCTATGTTGAAAAGCGGGGTATGATGTCACCTGAAGGCAAGGAGCAACTCACACAGATGGAAGGGCACTGACAATTCCTGGGTAGCTATTTTCTACCAATCTGTGCTATAGTCTCTATATAAGCAATCATACTAAGTCCTCAAAGTAAAATGGAGCCCTGGAGATCTCAACGTCGCCGAAGTTCCTCATCTAGTCAGGAACAGAGACTGAGACTCAGTCCGCAAGGGTCTGATGCCCATTCCCCACCTTTCTTCTATGCCATGCTGCTTTCAGGGATGGGTATGAGTGAGTGACTTTGATACTCACATGTCTTTCAGATGAAGTTACATTTAGTCAGAAAATGACAAAATCTTCTATTTGAAAATAAATATTTCTTACTTTTTGGCTTATGAGCACCGGAGCATCATTTAAGGAAGAGGCCCAGTTTACAAAGTCAGTCACATCAATCATTCTGGCTCCTTTGAGAAGTTTCTCTTTCAGCTCAGTTGCATATTTTCTGGTTCCTCCTCTTATGAATGTAATAACATCATCGAAGAAGTCAGCCTCTGGGTTCGTTTCTGAGAAGAGAAAGAAGACATAAGTAAAGCATGTATAGTTCTGTGATATTTGATAAATATTTATTGAACCCTTTAACAAGGTATAGTTCTAGTACATTTATTGAATTTTACTTATAAATATTACTCAGGTAATTTTTTCACCCCAAATCTCCAAGGGTAATTTTTACACTTGATCTTAGCCAAAAAGCCAAGAAGAGATCCAAGGATAACTTTAATTAGTAGGCAATTATAGATTTCAATCCTTTTAAAGAAAATATAAATGGAATGATATTTGAGATACATTAATAATTTAAATGAACATGAACTTGGGCAAACTCCAGAAGATGGTGAGGGACAGAGAGACCTGGCGTGCTGTCGTCCATGGGGTTGCAGAGAGTTGGACATGACTGGGTGACTGAACACACACAACACAATAATTTTCAGTTCATCACCTAAGCATGGGCACACATGGGGACATGAGGATGAATTTTTTATTTTATTAAAAAAATAAATTTATTTACTTTTGGCTGAACTGGGTCTTCATTGCTGCATGGGCTTTGCCTAGTTGTGGTGAGCAGAGGCTAATGTCCAGTTGCATTGCATGGGCTTCTGATTGCAGTGGCTTCTCTCGTTGTGGAGCACGGGCTCCAGGGCACATGGACTTCAGCAGTTGTGGTGCATAGGTTTAGCTGCCCCACAGCATGTGAAGTCTTCCCAGACCAGGAATAGAACCCATATTCCCTGCACTGGTGGGTAGATTCTTAACTACTGGACCACAAGGGAAGTCCAACATGAACCTTGACTGCATGCATTTTTTGTTGAAGACTTACTTTCAAAATTATATTTTATATTTTGTATAAATTTTCTTTGACTTTTATTATTATAAAATATCAAAGAATATAAAAAAAGAATAAAATAAAAAGCAAAATTTTTTTCCACCACATTTTTTTTTGCACATTTCTCCCTCAGTCTCTCCCAGACCAAACCACTTTTAAAAAGATTTGGGTGAATCATTTAGAGTTGTGAATTTTTTGAACTAAAAATCTAATTTCCAGAAGATATTTTTATCCTTCCTTATTTTTATAGATGAGAAAACTGAACCTCAGAGAGGTGGAGTGACTAGCTCAACATCACACAGTAAGCTTCAGGGTCAAATTTTGAAATTATGACATTTGATGGCAAGGTCAGCTTTCTTCTCACTTCAGCAGTAGTTTCCATTCATGACCACATGTTCGTGACTGGTATGCTTTTAAAAATATTAGGTTTTCCTCTCCTCTACTTCTCCACTATCAGCTGACTCTTTAAAGGTGAGTCTTAGGCGTTTGCATTTCTGAGAATGCTCTTAAGTATTTCTAGTCAGAATGAAAAATTGAGAACTCCAGCACCACTCTTGATTATAAATCTGCCAATGATTAGCAACAGAAGTAATATTTATACCAAGCAATTTGTATTTCTTTAAAAAGTTATGTATTGACTTACGTTAAGTATGGATTAGGGATTTTCCCATTTTCACCCAGTTTTATTGAGATATAATTGACATACAACACTGTGTAAGTTTAAGGTGGACAACATATATATATTACAAAATGATTGTCACAAAGTTTAGTTAACATACATCACCTCATATGGTTACAAAAATGATTTTTTCCTTGTGGTGGGAACTTTTAGGATCTATTCTCTTAGCAACTTTCAAACACACCACACAGCAGTGTTAACTAGTGTTAACTCATAGTATGTGCTTATCTTATAACTGGAAGTTTGTACTTTTTGACCAGTTGGGTGAGGATGAATTAGGGATTTTGAGTCAGGTGGAAAATGAGAGTGTTAAGGAGATGGCTTTGGCCTTCTCCTCTCTTGATGGACACAGACAGCACCTCCGCTAGGCCATTCAGAAGCTTTGTTAAAATTAGGGGAAAATAAAACTTTCCTCAAGATATTTTTCTACCATTGGTATTCTACCATTGCTATGACAAATATACAAATCTTCAATGACCACTGCCAGAGTTGTGCACTTCAGGGCCCAGCCGTTGACTACATGTCCCCAAGTTACTTGTGTTTATAGCCATTTGGGAAACACTATAAAGATAAAATAGTTTTGGGGAATTTCCTGGCAGTCCAGTGGTGAGGACTATATGCTTTTACCACCAGGGGCCCAGGTTCGATCCCTAGCCAGAGAACTAAGATCCCACAAGCTGGTGTGGCTAAGCCAAAAAAAAAATAAAAAGAAAGAAAAAAATGTAAAATAGCTTTAAACACTTTTAGTTTTTTGTTTTGTTTTTAAATAAAGAATTGAGACAATAAAGAAGACTCATAGTGACAGGGCAGTTCTCATGGACATTTCTTCCTTCTTTTTACCCTAGTAAGTTGGATCATACTTACCCATTTCACCCATACCCTTCTTTGAGCAAAGCTTTGAACTAATATTTCCTGTAACTTCAACTCCAACCCTCAGAGACAGATCCAAATTAAACCCGAGGCATCTCTGTACATCCCTCAGTTCAATACCTGTTTAAAATATTTAGTTGGAAATTATTAGATAATATCTATCAATATCATCAATAAATTCCAATTTTGTTATTTTGTAAGAAACATACTGACTTAGATTCCTAGACATTATTACTGAACTCAACTGTAAGGTTATATCTGCCCCGCTTTGCACTCATACTAGAATCTAGTGCTCTCCTTTGACTTTGCTTGTCAACTTAGTTGTAAAGGACAAATATATTTACTGCTTGTGAAAAGGGACATGAGTCAGACAAGGGTGGTTATTGTGAAGACCTTCATCTCTAATACCATAAAAGGGAGACAATGTCTAACATGTACTGAATGATTATGTGCCCAGCATCATTCTAAGTATTTTGTGGAATTAACTAACTTAATCCTCACGTTAACCTCTGGAGGTAAGCTTTATCATTATCCTCATTTTACAGATGAGGGTACAGAATCATGAAACAGTTAAGGAACCAGCTTTGGGCAGATGGTTTAAATACATGACACTTTGTTCTAGTCCTATGAATGCTCTTTAGTAGACACTGGTCTTGGGAGCTGACTCATTGTGGTGTATGGATGCTCCAGTAATAATGAAGAAAAATCCTAATATTTACTTGAGGATATAATTTATTGTCTCTTCCCCTGTTTAAAAGAGGAAATTATTTCTTTAAGAGTAACTGTCCAGGCCTCAGCTCATTTACCCTATGCTCTTGCTCTTATTTATCATTTCCGATCACACACACGTATATAAACATGTAGTTATTTGTCCTGGAAGCCAAAATACTTTATGAAAAGGAAAGGGATAGGCTAAATTAATCCCATGGTGGATTAGAATCTCAAAGTGAGATTTAGAAGTAGATACCTAGGGCATTTAGTCATTCATTCATTCAACAAGTGTCTTTGGTGTACCCACAATTAGTGAGAATTTAAGAAATGTTCTGTGGAATTTTCAATGGGGAAGGAGGAAGGAGAATAAAAAGGAAGACAATGCTAGAAATTCAGAATACTAAATTTCCAACCTTAACCTAAGAAGCATGAGAATTCTAACATGAGGATGAAAATACCTAAGAGATCCCCAAAGCTTAGATTCTCTACCTCAGCTGTGGATCTTTCTATGACCAGACAGAGTCTGGACATCCCACATTGAGGTGGAGGATGTGACTTGTTCCTTGGGTGTGGCAAAGTGGAAAAGTAAGAAGAGTGACTTTCTCTTCAAAGACCCAGGGTTGACCTAATCATCTTTGTCTACTAAGGCTAGAAGGTACATAGATGTAAACAGGTAGCTCTAAGTTATCCATGATGAAAGATTTCAACCTGTGGAGTTTTTCACCAAAGCAGCTCTTAGCCTGAAGCGCTCTTTGTGATTTGATCACCCTTCTCTTCTGATTTTCAGGTTATTTAAGACACATCCCTTTTGTGCCCTTTCTCCATGTGATATCTATCAATATAGCCTACCAGTCAGGGCTCCTAGAGACCTATTTATACCATCTCTCGGAGATAGCCTTGTGAGGCAATATAAGCCAAGAAACATCATACTCCACTTCCCCTGGCAATGCTTCTACTGGTCCAAGACTGAGGCATCAAAAACAATTGGTTCTGGCCATTCAGATTTGTTTCATCTACAAAATGTTTATCCATTGTGGGGACAGGTCAGACTTTAGGATCAGAACTGAACCCCCCTTTTATTTTCACTTGACACAGAAGCTAAGGATAAGAAGCAAAGAAAGGAGTTTGGCAAAAATTCCCTTGCCAAAAAAAAAAACCCAAAAACTTGAAAAAAAAAAAAAAAAAAATGCTGACATCTATCACCTCTTTAAAGAGTATTATAATTAGCCATAATTACCCACAAAATCAATAATTAAAATTTATTAACATATAAAATTTGCATTTCATTTATTTTTAAAAGACTTTGAGGAAGTCTTTAGGCTAGGATTTTAATTATGTAGATCACAGACCTATTCTGTACATATGGCAGACATTGAGGATCAATAAGAGTCTTTTCTATGATTTCAACTGTGGTCAGAAACCTACTCAATATGGACCCAATTCAACTACCACTCTATGGTTATAATTGTTATCATATGAGGTAAAACTAATTTTCCACACTTGCTTTAGACTTATATGATGTTACCACTGCTTCTTCCTTCTACTCTGGGAGAAACTTTACAACATTTTCTTTCCAATTCTCAAGAATACTTTGAAGATAATTGGCACAAATATAATTCAACCAGTCTACAGATTAAGCAAGAGGTTATATAAATGATGTCTCTTGTACTTTCTGTCACCTTGTAAATAGTGCTGTGGACTGTGTTAAGTCGCTTTGGTCAGGTCCCACTCTTTGTGACCCAATGGACTGTAGCCCACCAGGCTCCTCTGTTCTTGGGATTCTCTAGGCAAGAATACTGGAGTGGGTTGCCATGCCTTCCTCAGGTCTATTCCCAACTCAGGGATAGAACCTGCATCTCTTGGGTCTCCTGCATTGGCGGGTGGGTACTTTACCCACTAGCCCCACCTGGGGAGCCCTTTGTAAATAGTGCTTCACTAAAAGCAGCATCACCAAATAACATTATATTGCAATATGAATTTGTGCATTTCTCAATAGCCTTGTTGAGTAGTACATGGCCAAGTTATCTTGTTTGAAGTGGAAGTCAACTTGCTGTTTGATAGGATTTTAGAGGTCAAAAGTCAGGGAAAGAATTTTTTCAAAGAAGCAGGTTATAGAACTCTACCATTATTTTTAGTGCTAAACACTGGAAGAGGTTAGTGCTAGAAATAGTGGTTGATTCAAACAACATTGGAAGCTAGAGGTCTATTTCTCAGTATACCTTTCTGCTCCATGGACTTTTTATCCAAAACATATACTAGTTCATATAATCCTCCAAGAGACCCAGAGCTACTGTAGTGGGTTCCATAGGTTTCCAAAAATGCAAAATATTCCCCTTTTTCATAAGTAGTTGGCAGAGTATTTATAGAATCCAAGAAAGTTGTTTGCAGCATGACATCTCGACTTCTCATCACAAATCTTCCCAGGTGAACTTTTCCTTTTATGTGCAGATACATTTTTTCCTTTATTGCAGAGCAAAAGAAAAGAAACATGAATTTTATCACCCTTATTTCAAATTCAAAACTCACAAAATTTAGACTTTCCATAGTCAATACGTTTTTTAGCCATGACTGCAAGGTAACACTTTAACCCATATGAACGACAAACTAAAAATCCTATCAAAAGTGTTGATGAAGATGTACAGAAAATGGAACTCTCATGTATTACTGGTGGAAGGGTAAAATGGTACAACCACTTTGGAGAACTGTTTGGCAGTTTCTTAAAAAAGTCAACACTCCCATGGCCAGCAAATTCATTTCTACTAAGATCAGTAAAAGCAGTTCACAAAAAAATCTGTAAGAGGCTTTTATAGCAACTTAGAGCAGAATAGCTTAAAATGGAAAATGACAAATGTCCACTGACAGGAGAATTAATAGACAAATTGTAGTCTATTCACACAAAAGAATACTATTGAGCAATAAAAGGGAATGAACTACCGATACAGCAACAATACAAATAAATCTCAAAAATATTTTCCTGAGTGAAATATACACCAAAGAGTTTACACTGTATGTGTGCGTGTGTGTATGGTTGTTTCAGTCGTGTCTGACTCTTTGCAACCCTATGGACTAAAGCCCGCAAGGCTCTTCTGTCCATGGGATTCTCCAGGCAAGAATACTGGAGTGGGTTGTCATACCCTCCTCCAGGGGATCTTCCCAACCCAGGGATTGAACTTGTCTCTTATGCTCCTGCATTGGCAGGAGGGTTCTTTACCACCAGTGACACCTGGGAAGCCCATATACTATATGACTCTATTGTATTTATATAAAGTTCTAGAAGAGGTGAAACTAAGCTGTGGTCAGAGAAACCTGGTCAGCAGTTGCTTTCTAGGTGGTAGGGGATTGATTCAAAGGGCATGAGGGAATTTTCTTGAGGAGATGGAAATATTTTGCATTTGTTTGAGGAGGTGGTTACAAAGGTGGATATATCAGTCAAAACTCATGGAACTATATGCTAAAATATTTTCATTTTATTTTATGTAAATTATACCTCACTAAGTTGACTTAAAATGATAACAATGGAAGGATATGTAGACATTATATATGAAGCCCAATCTTATTTTACATACAAGGAAACTGGGATACAAAGGTATCAAATTATTTTCCCCAAATCTGTGGCAAAGATTGGTCCTGAAAACCAAGGTCTCAAGCCTTTCTGTGCCTTCTCCTAAGTCCTCTGAAGCTTTGGTAACAGGGAAAGCAGACAATGTTTTAAGTAGTTTTTAAGTCAATCTAAACACCTCAGCACTTAAATGTTCCCAGGGATGATGGCTTACATTTCCCAAGGAAAACTGGGGCAGTGACAAAGAACTATACGATTCAATGCTATAGACTGTCCCAGGCAAAACTAAACCACAATTGAGATCCCATGGTTTTGTGGAAGGTTCTTTTAAAATTTTCCTGCTGTAGTTGTGGTGAACACATGTTGATTGCACAGGAGTTTAAAACATTTTATTATTTTTTTTTAAAGGCGGATCTTGGTATGTATAAACATCACAGCAAACTTTTTTATGTTTTAGAAGCTCAACTGTTTACACTGTAGGACTTAACTTCAACTGATACTGGGTGATTCAGTATCTAACAAGAATCTTAAAAAAACTTATTCCATATTTTTATGTTTTCCATTTGGTTAATTGCATAATAATTCTGAACAAAATCTCAAAGATGCACAAAACATATTTGAATTTCTTTTCATTTGCTAACATTGAGAGGTGTATCTTGTCAGAAAGACATTATATTCTTTGGTTCAGTTTATTTTAGATCTTAGATCATTCCCATCCAAATCCATTCTTGTTTCTTCCATCTTAAGGGAATAAAAATAATTTCTTGGTTTTACTTGTCTGACCACTTGCCATCTGTTTTTTTGCCCTCATTGTGTTTAGTCTCTCAGCCATGTCCGACTCTTAGTCACCCATGGACTGTAGACCACCAGGCTCCTCTGTCCATGAGGATTCTCCAGGCAAGAATTCTGGAATGGCTGCCACACCCTCTTCCAGGGATCTTCCCAACCCAGATAATGAACCCATGTCTCCCGCATTGCGGGTGGATTCTTTACCATCTGAGCCACCAGGGAAGGTCAAGAATACTGGAGTGGGTAGTATTCTATCTTCTCCAGGAACTCTCCCCAGCCCAGAAATTGAACCTGCATTCAGATCTGAATGCAGGGGTCTCCTGCATTGCAGGCAGATTCCTTACCAGCTGAACTACCAGGGGAGCCCAATTAGAAGCAAAATTCCTTTAAAGAGTTTTCTAGTCTGGTTGTTTCCAGTTCTTCTCTTCCCATTTTCTCTTAAATCTAAACCAGTCAGGCTGCTGCCTTCTCTGCCCCCNTGTTAGCCTTTTCTCTGCTTCATTTTGTACTCCAAGGCTAAACTTGCCTGTTATTCTGAACATCTCTTGACTTCCTACTTTTGCCTTCTAAACCCCTATGATGAAAAGGAGATCAAACCAAACAATCCTAAAGGAAATTAGTCCTGATTATTCATTGGACAGACTGATGCTGAAGTTGAAGCTCCAATACTTTGGCCAACTGATGCAAAGAACTGACTTATTAGAAAAGACCTGAAGCGGGAAAGATTGAAGGCAGGAGGAGAAGAGGATGACAGAGGATGAGTTGGTTGGATGGCATCACTGACTCAATGGACATGAGTTTGAGCAAGTTCCAGGCATTGGTGATGGACAGGGAAGCCTGTTGTGCTACAGTCCATGGGGTTGCAAAGAGTTGGACATGACTAAGCAACTGAACTGATGATGAAAAGGACACCTGACATTAAGTGTCAGTTCTAAGAAGGCATTGTAGGTCTTCACAGAACCAGTCATCTTCAGTTTCTTTGGCATTAATGGTTGGGGCACAGACTTGGATTACTGTGATCTTGAATGGTTTGCCTTTGAAACGAACTGAGATTATTCTATGGGTTTTGAGATTGTACCCAAGTACTGCATTTCAGACTCTTTTGTTGACTATTTGGTCTACTTCATTTCTACTAAGGGTTTCTTGTCCACAGTAGTAGATATAATGGTCATCTGAATTAAATTTGCCCATTCCCATCCATTTTAGTTCACTCATTCCTAAGATGTCAATGTTCAACCTTGTCCTCTTCTGTTTGACCACGTCCAATTTACCTTAATTCATTGGACCTAACATTCCTTGTCCCTATGCAATATTAAATCCTTTGACTTTAGGAACCATCTACTTATTAACAGCTTGTGACACAGTTGGTAAAGAATCTGCCTGCAATGTGGGAGACCTGGATTCGATCCTTGGGTTGGGAAGATCGCCTGAAGAAGAGAAAGGCTACCCACTCCAGTATTCTGACCTGGAGAATTTCATGGACTGTATAGTCCATGGGGTCGCAGAGTCAGACATGACTGAGCGACTTTCATACTTTCTCAAACTTTAAGCTTAATTCCAGACCTCCTTCCCAAATGTCAGACTCATAACATCAACTTACTACTTTATGTCTCCAAAGGAATGTCAAATAGATGTCTCAAACATAACCTGAAACTTAACTACTGGTCTTCTTCTCCAAACCTGCTCTACCTGAAGTTTTCTCCATCTCAGCTGATAGCAACTCCATTCTTCTGGTTGCTCAGACCAAAAACTGAGTCATGTTTGACTCTACAACTTCCTTTTCTGAACTGCCATCATCTCTCACCTAGATTCTTGCAGTAGGTTTTAACAAATCTTCTTGCTTTTGCTACTAACTTTCATAATCTTGTCCCAACAATATCCACAGTAGTCATTTAAAATATATGAAAATATGTCAATCTCCTTTTCAAAACATTCCAATGGTCCCTCACGTCACTCACTGAAAAAAATTAAACTCTTATCATAGGCTGTGAGTCCTTTTATTATCTGACTCAAGGTAACCACACTAACTTTTTCTCCTTCTGGTTTACTTTGGCCCAATGTGCAAGTATGTTCCCATCTTAGGGACTTGTCTTTAATAGATCCATCTGCTAGTTATATTTGACTATTTCCTCTCCTTCAAATCTTTATTCAGATCTTATCTTCTCAGTGAAGCCTATCCTAAACTTCTTTTTATTTTTTTTTTAAAACTGAAGAAGAGAAAGGCTACCCACTCCAGTATTCTGACCTGGAGAATTTCATGGACTGTATAGTCCATGGGGTCGCAGAGTCAGACATGACTGAGCGACTTTCATACTTTCTCAAACTTTAAGCTTAATTCCAGACCTCCTTCCCAAATGTCAGACTCATAACATCAACTTACTACTTTATGTCTCCAAAGGAATGTCAAATAGATGTCTCAAACATAACCTGAAACTTAACTACTGGTCTTCTTCTCCAAACCTGCTCTACCTGAAGTTTTCTCCATCTCAGCTGATAGCAACTCCATTCTTCTGGTTGCTCAGACCAAAAACTGAGTCATGTTTGACTCTACAACTTCCTTTTCTGAACTGCCATCATCTCTCACCTAGATTCTTGCAGTAGGTTTTAACAAATCTTCTTGCTTTTGCTACTAACTTTCATAATCTTGTCCCAACAATATCCACAGTAGTCATTTAAAATATATGAAAATATGTCAATCTCCTTTTCAAAACATTCCAATGGTCCCTCATGTCACTCACTGAAAAAAATTAAACTCTTATCATAGGCTGTGAGTCCTTTTATTATCTGACTCAAGGTAATCACACTAACTTTTTCTCCTTCTGGTTTACTTTGGCCCAATGTGCAAGTATGTTCCCATCTTAGGGACTTGTCTTTAATAGATCCTTCTGCTAGTTATATTTGACTATTTCCTCTCCTTCAAATCTTTATTCAGATCTTATCTTCTCAGTGAAGCCTATCCTAAACTTCTTTTTATTTTTTTTTTAAAATTTATTCATTTATTTAGCTGCTCCAGGTCTTAGTTGCAGCACACGAAATCTTTTCTTTTCTTCTTTTTTATCAGTTGTGGCATGCATTCTCTTAGTTGCAGCATATGGGATCTAGTTCCCTGACCAGGGATCGAACCCGGACCGCCTGCATTGGGAGCCTGGAGTCTTAACCACTGAGCCACCAGGGAAATCCCTTAATTTTTTATTTTAATTTTTTTGTGCTGAGCTGAGTTTTCATTGCAGAGCATGTGCTCCCTAGCTGTGGTGCACAGGATCAGTAGTTGTAGTGTGCAAACTTAGCTGCCCAGTGGCATGTGGATTTTATTTTCTTCATCAGGTATTGAACCCAAGTCCTTTGCATTAGAAGGCAGATGCTTAATCACTGAACTACCAGTGGAGTCCCCTAAGTTTCTTTCTAAATACTGCCATCTGCCCAGGACTCCTGATTGCCTTATGCTACTCTACTCTTCGTTTTATTCTACAGCACCTGTCATTTTTAAAATAGTCTATAGCTTCCTTTTTTGCTGTTAAGCTTATTTTTATCTATCTTCCCTGCTAGACTTTCAGCTCCATGAGGAACAAGAATATTTGTTAGTTTGGTTCACAAATGTATTCTAAGCATCCAGAACAATGCCTGGCCACATAGTAATTCCACAATTAAATAGTTGTTGAATGACTTCAAGGATTTTCCAAGTGCACTCTTTGAGTGAGTGTGCATGTGAATAGAGGCAATGTACTGACCTATAAGAAACAGTTATATGGTTGTTGGGGGTTAGGGATAGTTAGGGAGTTTGAGATGGATACGTACACACTGCTATATTTAAAATGGATAATCAACAAGGACCTACTGTATAGCACATGGAACTCTGCTCAATGTTATGTGGCAGCCTGGATGGCAGGGTAGTTTGGGGGAGAATGGATACATGTATATATGTATGGCTGAGTACCTTCACTGTTGACTTGAAACTATCACAACATTGTTAATAGACTATACCACAATACGAAAGTTTAAAAAAAACAATTGTACGATTAGGCATAATATAAATACTAAGAGTAAAGGAGTATTATTTTTTAAGTGGTAGGAGGATATCTAAACAGGTGACTGTGATATCAGAAAAGGGAGGTGAGAATTTTACCAGCATCATACTGATTACGGAAAGTATATTCTATATTTATTCCAAAGATGAAACAAATCACTAAATCTGGATTAAATTAAAAAACAAACACATTTTCAAAGTCTCAGATTAAATGTATGATTACAAAGTAAGCAGACAATTTCACATGCAATGTATATAATTTCGTGGCACTGTTACTTTAGAAGTACACTTTATAGTAAGTAGTCATCGTTTTAAGACATTGCAATGAATTACAAAAAATTCCTGAGCATGATTTTACATTGTAATTCTGAAGAGAATATAGATTAAACAGTCTGTTACCACAATCTCAGTCAGAAAGAATGTTCTGAATTCTTCTCTTTTTTTTTTGGCTATACCACAGGCATGTGGGATCTTAGCTACTTCTAACCAGGAATCGAACCTGTGCCCATTACAGTGGAAGCACAAAGTCTTAACCACTGTATTGCCAGCGGAGTCCCAAAAAGTATGCTCTAAATTCTTAATATGCTTGTTCTATTTGTAACCACAAACACTCACATTACTACTGAATTGAAGCGATTTTTCTCCAGTTAACTTTCTTCCTCTGGACCCTCTAGCTACCTACACATTTGAAGATTTGTTGAGTATTATTTTTCTTTATCTTATGAGCACTATCTGTTCTAAACAATTAAACTTAAAAAAGGATGTTTGGTTAGTTTGCAAAATACTCCATTATATTTTCTATACTAAAGTTTGATCTTACCTGCTTAGAAGAAAATGATGACAACAGTCTGTAAATTTCATCTTTGGAATATGTAAATCGAAATGTAGCCTCAGCACCCTTGTTGGAAGGACTTGAGATGATTTCTTTGTTAGAATGTCCACACTCTGTACATTTATGCTTTTCAATTGCTTCAACAGGTGTATATTTTATACTTAAATCTGCATTAAAATTTAATTTCTTCTCTTCGATAATAGTTCTGAGTACCTGTATCTTTTCTTCATGATTTTCAGTTCTGAAGTTCTTGTCAGCTTTGGTCTAAGAGAAAATATACAAAAAACCACCCACAATAAACAGGAAAAGACAAAAATCAGGCAATTTATTTGAAAGAGAGTAAAGCAAAGAAGTTAAGAGTGAAGGCACAAAAGTGAGACTGCCAGTATTTAAATACAAATTCGATAACCTTGAGAACATTGCACAATAACCTCTCTGTACCCAGTCTGATTCCTAGTCTATAAAATAGGGATATTCACCACACCTGGCCCAAAGGTTGTTATGAGAAATCAATGAAATAATGTATATGAAGGGCTTAGAACATAGCAAGCTTTCAAAAGTTAACATATTAATAATTAAAAAGCAAGTTGCCTAATAGATCAGATGTACAATATATTCCTATTTGTGTAAAAAAAGAAAAGAAACAATAAAGCTAACCCTTCAGAAGCCTTATATACCAGGCACTATTTTGAGCATTTTACACATGTCAATTAATCTAAGTAGACATTTCAAGACTTGAGCCCTGTCTGCCTCTTAATCTTTTCACTCCACTGCCTAATCGAAAAAAAAAAAAAGAGAAAAACTTCTATATGAGTGGAAAATTACTGGAAAAATAGACAACCCACCGAGTGTTCACCCTTGAGAAGGCAAACTGTGAAGAGACAGATCTCTGGAGTAGTGGCAAGCTTGCTTTTTCTTGCATTATCTTTCATGTTGTTTGGACTTTTTGATTTTTTTAACCGCGCTCATTTTTGCATGAAAAAGACTGAAGTAAACAACCTAGTTGTTTAGTTAAAACTAGCTGTTTAATTAAAACAACCTGGTTGTTACTGGTTAAAACTAGTTGTTTAGCTAAAACAACCTGGATGTTTAGTTAGCTGTTTAATTAAAACTTTCAATTAAAACACATGAACCTATTTACAAAATAGACTTACAGACATAGAAAAGAAACTTCTGGCTACCAAAGAGGAAAGGATGGGAGAGGGATAAATTAGGAGCTTGGGCTTAACAGATAACAAGCTACTATATGTAAAATAGATAATCAGCAAGGTCTTACTATATAGCACAAGAAACTATATTTAATATCTTATAATCAATAATAGAAAAGAATTTTAAAAAGAATATATATATATATTTGAATTAGCTTTCTGTTCACCAGAAATTAACATAACACTGTAAATCTACTATACTTCAATAAAACAAAACTTTCTTTGCCAACTTGGTTACTGTCAGGCGTCAGTAGGAGAGCTGTTAATCTCGACAATTAAACTCTCTTTCCAGAGGTCCCCTGTAGCAGGTTGCAACTCTTGTCTGGAAAGAGACACTCATTTCTTTAGTCAGTGACACAGATGGGACTTGGTAGCATACATTGAGTGACTTTTATGCACGGTGAATGCTAAGATCTGAATGTGTATGTCTCCCCTTAAATACATGTGTTAAAATCCTAATGCCCAATGGGATGGCATTATTAATAGAAGGTGGGGCCTGTGGAAGGAGCTTTCATGAAAAGACTAGTGCTTTTATAAAAGTGACTCCACAGAACTCCCTAGTCCCTGGAAACCATGTGAGGATACAGCAAGAAGTCCGTAACCTAGAAGAGGGCCCTCACCTGACCCTGTCAGCCCTCTGATCTGAGATGCCCAGTCTCCAGGACTGTGAGCAGTGTTGTTTCAAAGCTACCTGGTTCCTGGTATTTCATTATAGCAACCCAAGAAGACTAAGACAAGAAACCCAAAGTTATCATCTAATGGGAAAGATTGAAATGTATATAATTTTCCTTAAAGGAAGGTGCTCAATGAAAAGGGGAAGAGTAACCTAACCATGTCACTTCCCTGCTTAAAATCTTTGTCTTCCCACTGCCTTTGAGATAAAGTCTAAACTAGATTTGTTCCTAGTTAGTCTCTCCCTATCTATACTCCAGCCCGCTGATCTCCTTTCCATTTCCACCGCCTATGTTTCCTCCCACCACAGGGCTCGTTTATGTTGTGTTTACTCTCTGGAAACTTCTTTACTTCCCCTGCCTCCTCCACCTTCCCATAACACAAACATTATACACACTCATACACACATACATACTATATATCCCTAGATCTGGTGAATCCCACTACTATTTCAAGTCTGAGCTTAAACATTACTTCTTTAGGGAGATGTTTCATCATCCCACCGACTAACAAATCTGTTTCCTATAAGCTCTCATGGTTCTTACAAAACGAAAAACTCTTCCCTTTTATAATTGCTTATTTAATAGACTTTCAGATGGTAAACTCCTAGAAGTCAGGGACCATACCCATTTTACCCACATGCCACTGTAGTTTCACCATTTAGTAAATTGCCTGGTGAAAAGTGGATGACAGTAAAAAATTTATTAAATTTAATATGCAGCTTCAATATAGCTAACATAACATATGTTTTGAGTGCTTACTCTGTGTCAATAGTTACTAAAAGTATTTTACATAAATATTTAATTTCCTATCTTTTAATTTCTCAAATTATCCCCATTTTACAGATAAGAAGATAAAAGTTAAAAAATGCGTCCAAGATCACACACAGCTAGGGAGTGGCCCAGTCAGCAATGAAACCCAGGAAGTCTGATTCCAGGGCAGAATTGTTCATTTTTATGTTACACTGCCAAAGAGGGCTTGACAAATTCTCTGTGGTAAATAAAGAAGAGGTTCATAGAAAAGAGAGATGAATAAATTTCTATTGCCTTGAAATTGAAAGAAGCAATTGAAGACAATTCCACTCTTTCCACAATTTCCATGCTGAGAAGTGCCAAAGCTGAACAAAATGGCACCGGAAAACTCTCTCTCTCTAACTCTTCTAGAAGGCTAAGTTCTTCCTAGTTCATTGTCTTCTAATTGGTTGTAGGATTAGAGTGGCATAATTTGTAGGCTCTTGTGCTTACATCTGAATTGGCTAGAAAGGAACCAGCCCTGGGCAAGGATCAACTTAGTTGTGTGAAGCACTGCTTGCTGGTATAAAGGAATATTAGTCAGGGTGTCAGTTAGAATGCTGTTGAATGGTCTTGTTTCACTATGCTAGAATGGTAGTAGTGAGTCAAGTCTGAAATAGTGAGGGTTGGGTCATCCCCCAGAAAGCCTAGAGACAAGAGCTAGATTGAAAAGCCCCAAATCCATCCATTCAAAAATAAGTCTGAGCTCAATGATAGGCATTCAGAGATGGACCAATATATGGGATCATTCTGAAGAGAACAAAAGCCTTTGAAGAGTGGTCAAGAGGCAAAATTACAGAAAGCAGGAAGACACAAAGATGAAAGTAAGTTTCTTTATGAGAATCAAATAAACAGATGTTGGAGAAGCTGAAATCAGAGAGGGGGCAAGTGTGGCTGTGTCTTCCAGAAGGTCTTTATAGGGGTTAGGGAAATCTATCCTGATTAAAAATTTATCAACTGATGCTTCTTGAATAGAAACAAACATTACTTGTGGCCCTGGGAATGGAAGAGATAGAACAACTCAGAAAATACTTCATAGTTCAAACTGAGGAGGTTTGAAGAGAGAGTGGAAATAAAAAGTAAAGAGAAAAGATTATTAGAAGTTTCACTAAAAATTTGTATGTACAAATAAGGAATAAAAAAATACATTATTTACTATTATTATTAAAAGCATCTCTCACTAATTGACAAAAGGAGCCTGGAAAGAGCAGATTGCTGAAACCTTATGAGTCATCCTTAACTAAGGTACCTAGCCAAACCACATCCCCTTTTAACTGTTAAATTTCAGGATAATTTGAAAGATAACAGTAGATAATGAATATAGTTCTCTATTATCTTCAAAAGATCATCTTCTCTGCCTAGGTCTTCAATATTGGCATGTTCTAGAATTCCATTCTCTCTGTTCTTTCCTCTCTCATTATACACCTCCTGGACTGGCCTTAAGCAGTCTCAAGACTTCAGTGATGCTCTGGTATATGCTGCTGGTACCTAAATTTCTGTCTCCAGTTCAAACTCCACCCTCACATGTATATATTTTATATAATCTATTTTGGGCAAGATAACTCTACCCAGAGATCAATCGTTATCTTCTTCTTGGAATTAACTCTTCTTTGGGAACATTCCCCATCTCCCCTTCCAACACACACACACATGCACATGCACACACACCCACACACACATCTCAGGTCTTCTCTGATGGCCTACCATCCACTGGAGGTCTCCTTTGACTTCATGTCTTCATATTTTTCATCTATGGTGAGTTTACTTTGCATTGGACCCTGTTCTAAGCACTTTGTACTTATTAACACAGTTAATCTTTTCCAAATTCCTATGAAATATATATTATTATTACCCCACTTTATGATAAGAAACTGAGATTCAGGAAAGGTAATTAAGTTGCCTGGAGTCATGTAAATGATAAGTGAAGGAATTTATCAGAATTCAAACCCAAGGAGTCTTATTCAGAACTGAGCACTTGACCTTATGCTCTGTTGTCTCCAATTCATTACTGAACTGTTGGTTCTTAAGACTGAGCTGCATCTCATATCTCCTTCTCTGCCTCTAGTATTACAGACACAGTTCAGTTTTTCATCATCTCCTTGGACCATAAAATAGCCTTCTTCACTTATTATCTCTGTTGTTGTCTCCTCAAAATTCATCTCCACAAAACCCAAAGATTTCAAATGCAACTCTGACCATGTTATGATCCTCAGAGGTTCCTTTATCATCCTCAGGATTATGCCCAAGTTACTTAGTATGGCCTATGAGTATCTTCATTTGACTCCTACCTATGACTCCAAATTTGAATCCATAATAAGTTCATTGCAGACTATAGTTCCTTTCAAGATAGCAGCTTCTATAGGCATAGTCTTACTTGTTCCCCAAGAATATCAATATATAACAGATAAACTAACATGTAAATATACAATAAATTTTATTTGTTCACTGCCAAGTTTTCTAAATGCATGTAGAGAGAGTAGTTGGAATGTTTATTAAGCCTGTTTTCACTTCCTGTCAACCTTAATGGCAATTCCAATTATATGTTCACTTGAATATGGGTTATTCCCTCCATTAAAAAAAAGCATTTGCTTTC